AATTTTTCTCAAATTCAAATTCAAATATAATTCAAATAAATGTCAAAAGAGGGCGGGCGCATAAGAGCGCGATCTTTAAAACATGTGCACATGTTCTAATAAGTATAYGAGAGAAAGCGCACAATACTAACTAAAATAAGCACCAATAGATGGCGGGCGTATAAGAGCGCGAACTTTAAAACGAGTATGTGTAAAAATAGTGTAAAAGTTAATAGTAAAATAAGTTGACAAAAGGTAAGTTAAAAGTAAAATAAATGAAAGGTAAGTTTTGCATTAAAAATTAAGGATTTTTTTTTATTAATTATTATTATTATTACTAATAACATAAATGATTTACATAAGTGTACTAGTGATATAGATATAAGTAAACAAAGGGTAAGTAATATAATGTATAATAAAGTAAAAGTAGCATGAAATGTATACAGGTTTTCACTATTTATCATAGAACACTGATCTTTTTTGTACATGATAGAAAATTAAATTTTCTTTCCAACGGTACCAAACACAAGCGCTTATCGCCAATAAGGAGTTATTGGCAATAAACCGCTCCGGGTGTCAAAAATTGACCAAAATCTCGACAAAAATCAGAAAAATTTTCATCTTTAAAATTGTTCCATATAACGTTCTTTACATTTCTAGAGGTCTCAAAAAAGTGCATAAAACGTTATTGAGTCAGGTTTAAAAAAATACGAATTTTTTGGGTTTTTGGAGAAATTAAACCATTGATAAAGTTACTCTTACTCTCTTACTTTATTATTAATCCAGGTGTAAATCAAAATTGAAATATGCAATTAATAAACTTAATAAAATAATAATAAGAACATTTGAGCTAAACACGTCTATGGCGGCATATAAGTGTCACAGCGAACACAATAGCCCGAATATTAATCAATCGAATAGCAGAAATGAATGTGGGTCGCCATGCATACCTCGAACAGTTGTCCCGCAGTGGTGGTGTTGGGATTGCAGAGAACGTCAACTTTTTGCCCATTTAACATGATAACTGTCACATGCTTCTTTTGTCCTTTGAAATCGGGCATAGTAATCTGCTTACTTGGCAGCGAAGCCCTCACAACGAATTCCGGCCCAACACAGTCCCTCGGCACGTCAACACTGGCACGGTAAAGTCTGGACGCGGCCCTTTGCACCGGATTTCGCCTCATCCTCGGTCTTCTGCCACTATTACCACCATCCAGACGCTCTCCCCGACTCAGTTTGGAATTTTTCCCGCAATAAACGTCCGAACCGGTGGCTAAATCACTCAATCTGTTCGTCGCACTCCCGCAAAATTGAAAATCCTTAGGTAGATCATTGTTAAAGTATCGCATGTCAGGCACACACATCGATTTGGGGCGCACGAGTGAGCCGGGGGCGTTGGAAATCGGCATGGAGAAAGACAGGTCCTCCATGCTGGTGCTGGCTTCTTTTGTCAGTTTCAGGATGGGGTCGTGGGGGCGCGTCAGGCCGATCCAGCGGCGGGGGATTGTACCAATCCCCTCTGTGTTCGATTCACTTCTGGAAAAACAACAATCATCATTATATCTATCACATACATTATTCATTCGAGATGGGAAACAAGAACGAGTAATGACAGGATTCCACTTGATGACTCTCGTCTTCGTATAACAATTTGCAAGTTATTAATTCTAATTTACCTTAATTACGTTATAATCATCTCAACAATAACATATGAGGAACATTGAAACAATTATATTGTGGAATCTATTCAAGGACAACATTTTTGTTTCATCTAAACTATTTTTAAATTGCTGTGATCTGTGGTTACCTATTCCTGGTTCTGGGACGTAATTCGGGCATAGCTGGGGGTCCCCAAGGGGTGTCGAGGGCTAATTCCACAGCTGCCATTGCTTCCTGATGCAAATCCATGACGATGTGAGAAAAAGGGCGGTTTTGTTGACGTCGCTTGCAGTAGTCAGAAATAACCTAATATCAAACTAATGTTTAAAAAAAATTATCGATTTCAATTGAGTCACAAAATCTCATTAATAGTCTTATTATTTTCGGCATTATAATATATTATGTTATTAGGAGTAAAAGTGATACTTTTGTGATAAATAATATTAAATCAATAAATAAACAACTGCCTTATACTAACTGTCTTATTTAAAATAATAGAAATATAACATATTTTTTGCATTCAAATATCTGAATATCTCCATTTTAGAAAGCACAGACTACGAAAGACAGTTAAATTAAAAAATATCAGCCAAAAAATTCTCTAGACTTGCAAAGATAACAAAAATTTTAAGAAGAAATTCTCTAATCCAAAAAAAGTCCCCACAGAATTTTCAAAATATCGAGCTGCAAGAAAGAGAAAAACTAAAAAAACTAATTAAATAGAAATAACAGTTTAAAAAATTCTCTAAATTTGCAAGTAAACATAAAAAACTTAGGTGAAAAATTCTCGAATCTAAGAAATTGTCAGTGTCTTTTCACTTGAGGAGACCAAGAAAAAATACAGAAATACCATCAGTCTAAAAAATTCTCTAGAACAAATCAGAAAAAAATTCAAATTTAAATAAATGTCAGTGGAGATTTTTTCCAATATGGAGTTGCAAAAAACTAATTTTTCTATCACAATTTCTATATGGAATTTTTTTTGGTGATGTAGGACAGAATTATCAAATATAGCAACTTTCATAACTCTAGAACTCTTTCTAATTTAAATCGAATTTTTTTTTGTTTCAAAAATGTCTATAACCGGTGAAGAAAAAGTATGGAACTAACCATTTTTTAAATCATTTGCCTTCACAAAATAATAATTAACAAAAATTAGAGTGTTTTGTTTATGAGTTAAGCGATTGTTTTTCCAAAATGGCAACTTATATGAGAATTTTTTTCAATAAAAATTGAATAAAAAGTAGATAGCTGTAATTAATATCATAATATATCATCGTAGCCTTTATAAAAACAAGGTTTTATAGTGGTGGGTCACTACTTGAAAAATTGAAAATTTTGCAGAAATCAAAAAAAAAATAAATCGAAAAATTTTATTTTTGGGAAACGTTCATCAATTATCATTTTCAAAGAAATAAATAGTTTGAACAAAAAACGTTTGGTTCCATACTTTCTGTTCACCTGTATATCGCAGAGAATTAAAAATAAATTTTAGAATTTTTAAGTTTAAAATTACACTGATCTTAACAATGTGGATTTCGTCGCTTAATTAATTCTTAATTTCCAAGATTTTAACAAATTTGGCTTTTGACAAGAATAATAATAAATAAATTTACTCAAACCAGTTTGAGTAAAGTTGAGTTGAGTTTAACAAATTTGTCGATTTTCTTAAAACCCAGTTCTTTCTACATCCTTTGACCAAGATAATGAAAATAAAAAAGTAACTAACAGGAAAAAGACGGTTAAATATTCACTATTGATCAAGAAGCTGTTTTCCTGCGCCTTGAAGCACTTACCTTCTAAAGCGACACTTGCAACACTTTAATTTCGTGAGTGAACGTCTTAAAGAAACAATCAAATTAGCATAGAAGCATTTAGGACCTAAAGTGCATTTAACTTCACCCACCAGAAATTTCTAAAGCAAACATTTAGTTTATTCACAAGTTTAGCAACTCCAATGTTGTTGCTTCCTCCTTGCCGCATCATGTAAAAATAGGCAAGCTTTTGAAACATGGCATTGACAATGTCAGGTATCGGAGTTTCAATCTTAAGCACTTCGCAAACTAACAAGAAAATCCTCTTATTTCACGTATTATTTTTCAACGGCCTGTGGATACTCCAACAGGTATGTCAAGTAGCATTTCCGGTAGAATTTTCACGTTCAGGTTTAATTTCGATCTAGTAAATTGACGTATGTATCCAAAATAAAAACCAATGGAACGAATTGTTCTCTTTATTTTGACATTTAACATTTACAGTGCATTAAAGTATACATTTCTAAAGGCAATTGACCATGAAAAATGCATTAGACCAACAGTTCTTATTCGTTTTGGGATCGATAAATGTATTTTCTCAAGTATCAGCACCTCTCGCCATCTGTGCGAAGTAACTTCCCACTTTCGACTACATAAAGGAGTCGGTCGTGGAAATTATACCCACCTTCGATTTTATCGTCATATCGACATATTTCATGGATAATAATAATAAAAATTTATAATTTCTCTCTACAGGGTGCGGCAGAACTCGCGCCCCAGAGAAAATTTTCAAATAAGGTAAGATATCAGGAACATGAAAAAAATGTTTAAAAAATTCTATCTGTCAAAAAACTTTGACATATAATTCTTGACATTTAACTTTTTTTATATCTATTTAATGATACTGATGATTTTGTATATGTTTTTTTTACAATTATTTAGTAAAGGGACTAAAATTTTGCCAATAAAAGCCACAAACAACATTGAACAGCCCTGTATATCAAAAGCATCGTTATCGAATTTTTTTTAAGTAAATGTTAATTTTACAGTTTAATTTTCATTAAGGTTTACTCCTAGTTTATTAGCTAACATCCATTCTTCTTTCGAACACTTTATTTTATGTTCTTAGCAGCGTAACCAAGTGATACACCCCATTTCACCCCGTTAAAAGTTGTATTTCAAAATTTCGAAAATTCTAAATTGCATGATTCTTTCTTCGTTTAAAAGTTTATACCCCGTTAGAACTTATTTTCAAAAAATCTTGTCTTAGTGCACCTTTACAACCGCTAAGGAACATTTCCCAAAATTCAAGTTACTAAATTTGTTTAAAAGTGTACACCCCATTGCACCCCTTAGAAATTTATTTACAAAAACTCTTGTTTTAGTCAGGGACGAACTGGCAAATTTTTTCATGGGGTGCTAAGTTGAAATGAGGGCACAATAAATGAAATAAAAAAATGTATATAAACTACTTACACTTAATGCAGTATTTTTTTAAAAACTGCGTCACTTTTTCATAATTCATTAATTATTTCCTTTACTGAGGGTGTGGCGTCACATTCAGTTGGAATCATGACATGGTTTAATAAAAAAAATAAAGTTTTTTGATGAACGTCTTTAGAGACTGCTTGTAATTTTAATTTTTGTTTTTCTTTTCGTTTCTGTGCACCAAATTTATATTTATATATATTTAGATTTTTCCATTATTTATGCCCACAAATAAATTTAAGTAAAAACGATATCTTATATATTAAAAAATGTGTGACATAATTTTAATCACGAATATCCCTCTAAAAATTAGAATAGATAACACAGTATTTATTGACCCACCTCAAAAAATATAAAAATTACAGCTTATCAAAAATCGGAAAAAAATATTTTCTGAAAATGTTTTTGTTATCCGATTATTATGAAACTTTGCATGTTAAAAGACAAAAAGACACTCTTTGTTTTGGTGTCAATGGAAGTTTTGTAAAAGCTATACATTTTCCGTAGCAATGGGCCTTTCCAGTTTTTGGATCATAACTTTATTGGTCTATTAACCCATATTTTTAATACCAAAACTTGGAAGTCCAACCATTTTTTCATAAAAAAGATACTCTTGTTGTCAAAAATGTAAAAACTCTCGTCTTCGTACTCTTAGCACACCGATAAAACGCTAAGGAAGATATCTTCCAAATATGTTTTCACCCTAGTTTAAACGTTTAAACACCCCATATCATCCCCTTAGAGATTGATTTTCGAAAAATCCTTTCTTAGGCCCTCTACACCCTCTAAGAAACATATCTTCCAAGTTTCATGTTTTTATCTTCATTTAAATTTTTACACCCTATTTCCTTTCTTATCAACCCTCTACACCCTCTAAAAGACACATCTTTCAAAATTTCTATTTACTTCTTCGTTATATCACTTAACAATGACGAATTTTTATAGAAACTTTGGGGGGGAATTTTCAAAAATTACGAAACACGTTTTCTTCCTTTTTTTCATAGATATAACTTCAAAAAAATACAGCTTTTTATACCAACCTTCATCCCCGTTTAACCCGCATGCGGGTGAAATTTACAAAAATCCTGAAACACGCTTTCTTCAGTTTTAACTTATCAAAAATCGGAAACAAATATTTTCTGGAAATATTTTTGTTATCGTTTATCCGCTTATTATGAAACTTTGCATGTTAAAGCACAAAAAGACACTCTTTGTCTTGGTGTAAATGGAAGTCTTGTAAAAGCTATACATTTCCGGTAGCAATGGGCCTTTCCAGTTTTTGGATCATAACTTTTTTTGGTCTATTAACCCATATTTTTAATATCAAAACTTGAAAGTGCCACCATTTTTTCATAAAAAAGATAATACTCTTGTCGTCAAAAATGTAAAAACTCTGGTCTTAGTACTCTTAGTACACCGATAAACCCCTAAGGAAGATATCTTCCAAATAAGTTTTCACCTTAGTTTAAAGGTTTAATATTTTATATTATTCAAAATGTTATTCAAAAATGTTCCAACATTTTCTCTTTTACCAAAATTATGAATTTTTTCTTTTACGTACTTATGAGAACCTTTCTGAATCTAAAATTAATTTTGGCAACAAACACAGTGACATCACTTTCTTGTTTGGATTTCTGAGTAATGGGTGTCTAGAAAAAACGTTAAAAAAATTTAGTTAGTTCCCTATGTTAAAATAAGAAAAAAACTTCCTATACAGTCCTATATCCTGAAATGCTTCCTGAAGGAGTTAGAGCCCCCTAAAAATAGTGGGCAAAAATCTTTTGTTCTCAATTATCTCAGTAATCGATGAACATAAATTTACAAGTTTGCATCTAATGGAATATTTTGGGGCTAAATGCCAAAAATTGTGTACCCTATTTAAAGGGGCAAAGGGGGTTAATCTATTTAAGATAAAAAAATTAATTTCTGCTCTTGTTATTGCAATTTTTTATAATTACAATTTATTCTTAGTAAAATAAACGTAATGGGGGAAAAACAGTAACAGAACAAAAGAAATAAGAAAAAAATGTGATATCACTGTTGCAAATTCACAATTAGACAACAATAAAAACGTCCAAATACCAATATCAATAAATATCACTTATCATGTATCATTTTTTTCTTTGTATATTATTCAAAATGTTATTCAAAAATGTTTCAACATTTTCTCTTTTACCAAAATTATGAAATACTTCCTCCAATAATAATTAAATCATGAGTTACTTCCACGATCGGCTAATGCACATTAATTTGCATAACTAATACTGTTAGTGGGGTGTTGGATGTCACCGAGACGAGAATGAGTGCATTGAGGTAATACATATCGATTAATTAGTCACGTACTGATTGGTGTCAGAGAACATAATTAGGGGTGACAGTGGAGGTATTTCTATCACAATTTATGCATGGAATGGAAACGACCATAATGTGCGATAAGGGGTTAGAAGGAGAACCACTCAGGATTAGATCGCATACTAGTCCAATAAGAGTGACGTGTCGAAAAAATAAAGAATAATGATAAGACTTTAACCTTTAACCTTTTCTTTGGAGTAATAAAGGAAATTTCTCTAAGCCGCCTTTCATACCACAACAGAAAATTGGACGGTTTAAAGTCAATATTTTTATTCGGAGTTCGAAAACCTGACAGCATTTCTGAATAAATGAGACACCCAAAAACAATTTTAATTCGTTCCGATTCCTTATTTGAGGGATTACAGACCACCTGAGTCCGCGTTTTGAAGATCTATTATCCATAATTTATTGTTTTACGACAAAGCTTCGGATTTTTTTAAAAGCTTGAACGTATTTTTGATTCAAAAGCTCCCCAATGTCTCTTGTAGGAGTAGTAAGTAAACATTAGTAAATGGGAAGTCTCTAGTTAAGCTTATGTTGTTATAACTGTGTCAATCATGTCCTATCTTTAGCAAACAGGGAAGCCTCAACGAACGCCACTATATTAAAACTTGATGCGTCCTTTTCTGCTCCTTATCTCGACGTCTGCAACAAGTTTCGCAGAATACAAGCTGTAGATACAATCTGAAACACTTAACTAGATTCCCCGTCAATTTATAACCCTTATAATAAGGGTTATAGTACATAAACCACATGAGAAGCTAGTCAGATATTCAAATTTAGAACTTCATTCAAAGAATTAATTTCGCGATTAATTCCAGGGTCTAAAACTGAAAAGTAAAAGTGGGATAACTGATAGCCGGTCGTAATTTTGTTACAAAAACCTCTCCCCCACAGGGTTGAATTTATGAGTGGAAGGACCCTAACCATGTGTTATGTTTGAAACTGTAATATTTTGTTATGGCTTCGAGGTGTTTTATTTTGTTGCTCATCGGATAGAATAAATTTACCAAACGTCAAATTTTAATTACCAAATTGAATTGGATTAATGCAAAAGTTTATTTAACCTACAATTATGCATAAAATATGACCGGCTTTGATTGCAGTTCACTAACAGATTTATTAATTAATTGTAACTAAACGGTTTCGTGTCTATGCAAGTCACGCCGATATTCTGATAATCTCTCGTTTTATGTGGAAAAAACAAATTCATTGATTTAAAATCCCCCAGGGAGGGTGAGTACACAATCATAAATCTCTTTTTTAATTCACAGATAGCCGATAATCCAAATGTGTGTAAAGATTTCAACGCAGGAAAACAAAATAATTTCAAACTATTCTAGTCCTATTCCAAGCTCTGGTTTTGGGTTTGTGCTCCAATTTTCTGCTTTTTGTGATACGGCAAATAAATTTAAATTTATTATATCCTTCTTTAGTCTTATACAAATAGAGTAGATTATTGCACTCATTACTGTTTAGCCTTCTTTTGTTCTTTCTTCGGCGTTATTTCCTAGCAAAATTCCGGGTTATTTTTCAAGGAAACGCTTTGCCGCTTATTATGATGTAAAGTAATCCACATAATGACACGATTTAAAAAACACAATTTTACTTCTATTTCCATTTTACTGTTCTGTTCTAAGCCTAAGAAAAAAATAATCCGTGTTACCTACATTATGAATTATTCCGACTATGTCGTTCTGACAAAACCCAAGTGACATTTCTCTGTTTTCTGCATATTAAAAATTTAAAATTAAACTACCCGCAAAAACAAGAAGCGAAGGCAAAAATACACACTCAAACATTTTCTTCATTTCAAAATATTCATAACAGCTTTTTGCAAATTAAAGGACTAAGTTAATTTAATTAATTGTAAGTAAGCAATTCTTATTATTATCATTCTTATAAATAATTTTAATTGTTAAATTGCGCCTTATAATAATTTCTATTTGCGTAAAAGTTTATTCTTTTCTGGTCCTAATTTTTTTAATTTTTTTCTGAAAGTACTTTATGACGATTAAAAAGCAACCTTTTAAATATAATATTTCGTTTATTTAGATTCAAGATTTATTTCTTCTTCAACCTTTTGAAATTCCTTTATTTTCTTTTTTCACACTTTTCTTATTTCTATTTATCATTCAATTTTCTTTCTTAACTTATATCGCTCTTTGTGTGTTTGAAAAGTATAGTATAGTTTACGATTTATATCCACAGCTATTTTTACGAATTAAATTTTTCTCTTAGCATTAAAAAAATAATTTGAATTGTAAGTTTAGAAAAACTTATTTGGTCACTTATGGTTTCTTTTTGTAGATTGAGTTCTTGTCAGGATTTTCTAACACTAGTACATAATAATAATAAACCGTCCTTATTTGAATTGTAAATACAACTCGAAAGGCATTTGCTAGACAGCAAATGCTATATAAACTTAACTCCTCTTAAACAGAAAAATAAAGAAATAAACAAATATATGAAATGAAATATACAAAAATTGCACTCTACTAATACACACATTAAAAATAAGGAAAATAACCTTTAAAGAAAACAGAAAAATATAATAAAAGAAAAAAAAAAACAAGTAAATAACAAAAAGCAACAAAATATTTAGTAATGTTACAGAAAAACTGTGAATTAGTGAAATATGTCTTAATTTTTTTGCGAAAATTGTACACCAAAAGTTTTTCTTTAAACAAACACAAACAAACATTATGTTTATTAGGAGTAAAAGTGATTAGTTTATGTGGCGAAGCTGAACGTTTATTTTGCCACAC